TTAGGAGTGTGCTTCATCTAAATTGAATACAACCTTTTTCTTTTTCTTTTAAAGATTTTTTTATTGTTGACTTAAATATATAAGTTAAGAATTTATTTATTGCATATTTATTATTAATTTATATAAAAAAATTATAAAAATAAATTTTATTTTCAATATCAATCTCACGTGAAATAATTTAATTGAAAAGTTGATAAATTTTAAATTATTTTTTATTTTTTATGTAAATTAATTATAAAAAAGTATAATAATTACATCTTTAATTTGTATTTTTAAAATACAAGTTAATTTTTTTTTTTTATATTTATATTTGCCTCCATCCCACATTTCCCTTTGTTAAAAAAAAAAAAAGAAAAGGAAATATATAGTTGAGTGTGCTGCCAAAAAACTGAGTTGTATATAGTTGTTATATTAGTGGAGGTTTCAACCTAAAGTGTTTTACAGGATAGTTGTTTGTTAATGGAGGTACATGTATTGAGTTGGAGTATCTCCTTCAATACTCTTTTTAATAAAATTTATGGATAAAAAAAGGTATATCTCTAACTTCTAGCCCGTGACTTAATGAAGCAGCTATAAAAAATAATAAATAGTTTTTTTTTTTTTTTCTGATGAATCAAATTAATTATTTTAAAATATAAAGGGTACTACCTATTTACATCTTCCGAGCTAACAAATTGCAAATACAAAAGGCGCTGCACGTAAACAGCACCCAACACACATGACACACCTAACAAGGTAATATGAGTTCTCTACAAATTTCTAACACAAGACACGGGACTGACACCATTGATGATAGGGAAAAACACTTCTATCCAAGCGAAAGATCTCTCCTACTTCTAAGTTAAATAATCAATAATTTGAATGCAGCGAGGATATATAGTTCAATTTATGAAAACAAGCCAGGTCATTTGCAAAGCAGGCGGCCACCATGTTAAGATAATGGATGTCAAAATCATCTCATCATTTTCACTTTTCAGGACCACCCTTGGTGAATTTTGATGGAAACCCCTCATGCATAATGCACTCCTGCTCAGCGATGATAATTAACTATTTTTTTTTTCCTTTCAATGAATAAAATTTTATTGCATAGAGTATAGAAAGATATTTCAACCATATATATTTACAAAGAAACTCTCATGGAATGACTCTCAGCTGTTGTTTCTAGCAGAGATTCTAAACATATGTATATATTTAACAATTTCTATATTAATATAATGTTTACATAAAAGTGGATGCCAACTTTAATTTATTGTAAAAAATTAAGTAGAAAAATATTTTACAAGAATGCGTTTTAATAAAATCTCATTAATTAAAAAAACTAAATCATTTTAATTTTTAATGCAAAAAAAAATGTTTATCTTTTTTAATGATATTTTATTAAAATAATAGAATTTTAAATATTTATTATTAATTTTTTTAAAAAAATTTGACTAATAAATACTAATATCTAATATTTATTGCTTGATTCAACAACACCGTGACATAAAAAAAAAAAAATCATTACATTTACTTGGTGATCACTTGAAGGTGAGGAAAAGTCGTGTCCATGGGTCTGCCGTACTCGTCACAAAACGGTTACATTCTAAATTTCTAATGTTCGAGCAATTTTTATTTGTTATTATTATTTTTTTAAAAAAAATGGAGGGTGAGTCAAGACCCACAAATATTATAGTGCCGATGTAAGTTGGTTTCAAAGCAGTCATTTTCAAAACAACTTGTGCCAATTTTTTTAAGGGTATTTTAGTGGATTTTTCACAAGATACACTTTTAGCCTATTATAAAAAACCTCTTTAACAAAATGATTTAATTTTAAAAGTAGTAGTAGTAGATGTTGAAATCCAGATTAACTCTATAAAGTTTGAACTCGACTTAATTAGTCAATTCAAATGATGAATTCAAGTTAGTTATGTTTGTTTAACTAAAATTCAATAGTAATATATAAAAATATTAATATCTAATTATCAATAAATGCTAATTAAAGTGGTGATAATTTTCCAAGTTGAATGTCTCCAAATTCAAATTTGAGTGAGTAGTTAAACAAACTTGTTATCAACCTTTAAAATTCTCATTTTGAGACTTGTTGGATTAGAGAATGGAACCTTCTTTTCTTTTCTTTTCTTTTTTTTGGATTAAAGAATTGAACTTTCTTTTAAAAAGGTAAAAACTTAGGTAATTGTTCGGAGACAACACTACAAGGTAGGATAGAACTCTGGCCTTTTGGTTGGCAACCAAGAAGCTAAATCCATGCAACGGAAACAGATTACAGTTCCCCTTTGAGACAGAGAGAAAACTACAAGCATACCATACAAATTCTGGGTCCAAACTGTCATTTGTTGAACTTTTGAATTCTATCTATACTTGAGTTTGCATTTTGCATCTGGATTGTTAAGATTATGCATTCAAATCTCCTCACCTTAGGGAAAATAATAGAATCAAACTCGATAATGAGCAAGTTAATTGTTTGCATGCAAACAATTACCTAAGTTACAAAGAAAGTATTCACTAGTACCCCATCCAGTCATCCACATCCCAGCGTTACGATACCGACATGCGCTTCTAACCCATACAGCACTATCAGTTTTGTCTTGATCGAGCTTATATAATTATTTTGCTCCACAGCATTGTTTCCATTTGCCCTGTCCTATCAAATATATATATATACACGTGCCCTGTCCTATCAAATATATATATATACTCATGTATTGTTTTGCTCCACTATCCAAACCATATTGGTTGTAATTAGTACTCATCTGAATCTCCAATGCCGTAGTTTTTGTATGAAGCGTGAAACATGTGGTATGTGCCTCTTGCAGTTGTTGGAAGCTTGTGTAATAAATGATTTTTATCAACATGCCAACATCATAGCTTTGTTTTTTTTTGCTTAATAAATAGAAGAAATTGATCTACTTAACAAAAAAAAAAAAAAAACCTTTACTAACATTGACTAGTGATCAATTTAAGGGATTGTTTTGAAAGTTTAAATATTATGTTAATTGTTCGATAAATGCATCTAATCTATGCTTTTAAAGATGGAATAAATAAATATTTTTATAATTAATATTTTTATAGTTAATTTAAAAAAAAAAAAAAAAAAACCTTTACTAACATT